AATAATATGTAGACCTTAAGTACCTACTGTAGTCGGTAATTTTTTTGTGAATAATACTTTTAATTTTAATTTCAAAAGCGAGTTCCCTTAATCAACGTACCAACAAAATATYAGTACTATACATGTTCTCATCTTCCGCCCATTGCAATACAGTATTCAGTGCATTCACAGCTTTTGAAGGAGAAACTTTGAAAGAAGCTTTGATTTATTATGTACCTACGTCCTACATACATGTATTAGTCTTTACTATAGGAACAGTAGGTAATAAAAATGACGAAATTGTATTTGTCGATAACAATATTTTATAGATTAATTGGGTTGCAAGAATTCTCGTAAAATTTTTTTACGAACAAATGGAATTTTGCCGTCCGGATTACCGCATTCACCGGATTATCGGGGGTCCGGACTATCAAGGCTCTACTGTATAATCTACATCTATACTATAATATAAAATTGTATGGGTTTTTCTTAGACCTCGCTAACCGAGAAAACTACTGAACCGATTTGGCTAAAATTCTTTTTGGCTGAAACACGATACTCTGCTGAAGGTTTTAGTACCATTTTTGTCAATAAAAAAAAAAGGTTTAAAGTTCATAAAAAATCAAAAACAGAATCACAGTAGTGGCGCCCTCTTTCGGCCAAAAAATATACTAAATATTTTTAGTTGTCATGATTCTATAGGTTGCAGATCCAAAGAGGATGAGTTGTTCTTATATAAAATGGAAACATATGGTAAACTTRTTGTATGACATATAGTTACTATTGGACATTGGTTACTGATTCATAGAAACCGAATACTATGTTTGTTTGTTTTTCATATTATTATTATTATTATAAACTAGCTGATCCCACGCACTCGTTGCCCGTTAAATTTTCTTCTTTCGTGTCGTTCAGATCTCGTTCATCCAAAAAGCCACGACTGCTGCCGCTTTGTAATTTGCCAGGTGTAGGTCATTTTCATCACAAGTGGTTCCTATTARAGGGCATTGTAGTAGGTGGCCATTGTCTGTATTTCACCACATTTGCAGTTGGTTGTGTCGTCTTCTCCTAATATTTTCCATTTCTTGAGTGTAGTTTTGCATCGTCCGACTCCTGTTCTTAAACGATTTATTGCTTTCCATTTTTCCCATTTCCAGTTTCTTCCTTTAGGTAGCTCTTCTTTTAATTCCCACGTGGTGGTGTTTTGTTCT